GAATGAATGTTCTCTCAAATATGTCTGCTAATGCTGCTTATGGTGTTATTGGTGGAAATGAAAGTAAGATAGATTGTTATACCTGAAAGAGTATAATTTTAACCAATTCTAACATAATTAAAATAGATGATGTCTATAGTAATCCTGCTTATGGAATCAACACTATGACACAAAGTAAAATAATAACTATTATTATAATTTGATACAATATGTGTATATAGGTATTAATGAAGAATTATTAGTGTATGATGAACCAAGAACTATGATGTATAATGAACAAGAGGTAACATTACAATATATATTCTGTAAATTATATAAAAATCAAGGTCACAGCTAATTTAAATTTCAATACTTAAATCTACACTACAATGTATTTATCCACATTGGTTGACTGTATTTCTATTGGCAGGTTATTGTAATGCCAGCACATAATGAAGCATGTACACAACAGAAAGAAGAAGAAGAAGAAGAAGAGTTGTACATCTAACATATTGACATTGAACATACATTAATGCTCATAGAGCACATGCACAAAATAATGAGTTGCACTAAAATTATTAAAAAACTTAATTGTACGTGTTGTTAAAGTATTTAGCCAGTCTACAATAAATTCAAATTTGCTATTATACATAATTCTATAATATTCAGTTATAGTTCCAGTAGACAAACCACATTTACTATGACATTCTCTTTTAAGTTAAATTTAATATAAGCCATTAGACTATCAGTCACTGTGATTTATTTAATTGCTAGGAATGCAACTCTAGTAAAATTGGGTGTGGTATCTAGATCCAATGACATCCTGAAAAAATTAAATAAGTAGAGGAAACTTGCTGAGTAGATCATCACAAAATGTCCAGTATCTTCTTATTCCTATTATTATTGGTTGCTAGTAATGAAGGAGCAACAGGAGGAGGAGTATGTACTGAAGGATTCATGGACTTGAGTCTACTAGTAGCTAAAGCAGCTACACCAGTTGGTTCACTAGCTGATAATACTTTAGCTGAGGGCAATGAAGGAAGATGGATCATTAATGGTAATACATTCAGTTGTAATACTGCTACTGTAACAGAAGTTCTTCTTGGAGTTGATATCAGATCAGAGAATGGTAACAGGAACAAGTATCCTAGCATTGAGATATGGCGAGTAGTACAAAACTTTTTGGGTACTTATTTTTACAGAAATCCAGTCACTATTTCTATTGCATTATCTCCTGATAATGTCACTACTAATGGATTATATCGTTATGTTCTTCCTACTCCTTTTAGTGTCAGTGGCAGTAATCATGATACTTACAGACTAGGAGTGTATCAACCTGAAGATGATTCAAGTGTTGTTAGACTTTACAATGCAACCACTAGCAGCACAGCAAAAGTTGGAAGAATAAGAGCAGACTCCATTAGTGAATCAAGTATCAGAATAACAGGTTCAAATAGCCAGATAGAAATTGATCGATTAGATACAAATAAAGCTTTTATGGCACATCTAATAACAGGTACACATAACATTATTAACAAAATTAAATTCTTTTTATCTAGATCCTCCAAACTGCTTTCAAAATATTTTCGCTGAAACTGAAATTAATACAAACAGTCTATCAGTTACTAATGTAATACCAGTCAATGATACAAGAGCTTTTCCTGATATACAGTTCACATGTAATGGTATTATTACTAACTGGATAATTGGTATTACACAGAATCAGGATACAAGCAAACATTATCCTAACATTTATTTAAAACGTTCTTCTGAACTGATTCATGCACTAACTGTTGATGCTTCTGTTGCTACATCAAGTAATGGTAATGTATATAACTTTACAAGTGATATTGAAGTACAGTATGGAGATATATTAGTAATCAATGTAACCACTAATAGTAATCCAATGTATTATCAACAATACAATGGACCATTGAATTATGAGCTTAATAGCAGTAATGGATTAATACCATTGGAGCATAATGACTATCCACTGATATCAGTTATGATGAGTGAGTTTCTTGTAATTTCTTAATATAATCATTTATGAATTGTTTATTTTTTAGAGCCAATTCCTTCAGTGACTGAAACATCATCCTCTACTGTTACTGAAGACATTGATACTGTTGCTACAATGGCAATGCTATCATCCTCCACCACTACAACAGATATTGTAATGACACCTAATAGCATTCTTACATCAACAGAAGTCATATACTACTCTACCAGTTTACATTACACTACTACTCTTTCCTTATTGAGTACTACATCATTATTCCCCACTAATACCTTGTCAAC